TGCGACCCGACGGGCGTGGGAATTTATATATGTAAATTGTGGAAAGTACCCCTCCACCACTACCACCACAGGGCGCTCCTCCTCCTCCTCCTCCTCCTCCTTAAGCTTCGGGTAAGGGGACGGCGACGGGATGGGGACAGGGACGGGGACGAGATGGGACGCCATGTGGTGCTTGGTGCTTGGGTGGTGCTGGATGGGTGCTGGGTGGTTGTAGTAGGTGGTAGGTGGGTGGGCTAATATTAACGGTATTACAGCTCGAGATTCACTTTACCCATCGACACTCTACATACACCCATCCCCGATCATGAAGTTTATTGGGTGTGGGTGGATTGACTGGATCGACGGGTAGATAATTTCTTGGGGGAGGAGATGGCGATGGCGAATTTGACCCATTATTGACCATGCCTTACAGCCCGCATTACTGGTCTGTCGGGCGCGGCCTGGGGCGTGCGCATTTCGCGGTGGCAGCGATTGACGAATGGCAGCGCGCGGTCCGCACGGCGCTTGTTTTCCTCCCCTCTAGGCCCCGGGGATTAACGACATGAACGACATGCCTAAATATCATGCTTACTTTTTGCTTGTGTAGATTCACGCTCGGTGGATCGCAAGGAAAAAAGAAAGAAGTAGATATGCAGAATGCGAATCGTTCACTCTCAGCTCGCTCGTGACACAGAGCACAGGCCGATGCGGGTTGGGGCCTGAATCCTCTTGCATACAGCGTGTGCAAATTTATATCCACAAGGCCTCCCTCCCCATCCCTTCCCCTTCCCCTCCCAGACTCAATCACCCACAAGGATTCCTCTCCTCTTCTCCACCTCTTCTCCTGCCCACCCAGCACGATCATATGTAAGCTCCATCGATCCCCGAAGAGACGAAGAGACAAATAGGGAAAGTCGGACCCGAACCCGGGCACTTTTGAGTTTCGGGAAAAGAGATGCGGGCAGCCGGGGGCAACACAACACGACAGCCCTGCCTGCGGGGACTCGAGGAGGATCGGAGTGGAGGATCGGGGAGTAACCGCGGAAAGCTTAAGGGTCAGTGCAGTGCAGACGGCTACTGTGGTCTGTACATAGGAGTTATGGGGTATGGGTGGGAGTGATGGTGGGAGTTGTGACAGGTATGTAGGCGCTGCGATACGGTAGGTGTGGTAGGTGGGTATGTGGACAGCCGTTTACCAATGGCAAGGAATGGAGGATGGATGGAAGGCAGGGAGGATGGATGGATAGCAGCAAGGTCCAGCTGGCTGCTGTAAACAAACCAATATGTCCCGACTCCCGATGTCCACCTTCCGAGTGCTGAAGAACTCCACGCACTCAATGCCCCCCCGCCCATACATACTATACATACAAGCCCCCTCCCGCCCCATACACACCCCCAATACACGCAAGATGAGACATTCCCACGTCGCGTTGAAACCGACCGCTACGTATGTACTCCTCCATACTCCTCCATGCTCCTCCATACTCCACCATGGTTCCCTCCTCCATGCTCCTCCATACTCCACCATGGTTCCTTGGCCGTAGGCCGCAAAAACCCGTCCTGAACCACGCCCGGTTCCAAAATCCACAGTTGACCATGCGGCGTAACAAGTATTTGCAAACCGGCGCCCGGCGCCCGGGGGGATCGGTGCCGATGCCGGCACCGCGGTACCGCAGCTCTGGTCGAGACGTGCGTGCGTACGTATGTAGGCCTACGGCACGTTCGGGATAGTGGCCGATCTCATACCTAGTTGGCGATTGCAAGGTACATACTTCTTATATGTATAATGGCCCGGGCTGTGGAGGGCGAGGCGAGAAGTGAGAGGGGTAGGTAGAGTACTTATACTCTACATAGTAGTTATTCCCCACCCGGCCGTGACCGGATTTTCCCGGACGATTGACTGCCGTTTAGAGAGTTTAGAGGGTTTGGAGGGTTTAGAGGGCGTGCAGCGGGCACTCGGGCTGTACCTATGCGAGCGATTGACAGAGGTTTCCGGGAGGGCGAGAGAGTATGTGCGTGCGAGCGTGCCAGCGAAACAAGCAAATGAGTCTCAAGTCACTCGGACAGCCGAATCTCAATAAGCAAACGAGTCTCAGATCACTCGAACTCACTCACACCCACGAGCCGAATCGCAACCACTTGTATCCTCACAAGACAACAAAGCACGCTCAAGTTCAACCAAACCCCAAAGAAGAACAGAACTAAAAAAACGCCAATTATCACCGCCCGTACAAGTATATACGTATCCTACACCCAATTACACCCCATCCCCCATCCCCCATCCCCCGCCCCCCAGCACCCTAGCTACGCGCCCCCGTTCGCCCGTTTTACACCTTCGTTGGGATCCCTCCGCTCGCCTTACTACCAAAGATGCTCATGATGCCAAACACGCTGTAGAACAGCGCGAGCGGGTAGGCGACCAGCCACCTCATCTCGCGCACGCCCAGGACGCCGACAAACATATTGCTGGCGGCATAGGTGCTCCAAGCGATCGCGGCGACGCTGACGGTGTAGCCGACTAAACCGTCGAGCGGGTAAGCGACGCCGAGACCGCTGGTGAAAACGAGCGGGAGCAGACAGTAGCCCAGCACCGACGCGGACCGGATGTAGTTGAGCGAGTGCGTGGGCGGCGACATCAGGTTGAGTAGCAGGTGCAGTGACACCGAGCCCATCAATGCCACCCCGTAGATGTACCCGAAGTGCACCTTGCCCGATAGTAGCAGGAACGTGCCGAACGCGAGGCAGAACATGATCGGTCCCGCTACGTCGCTGTCGTCCATCATGTGCTGGTCCACGGTCTGGAGGGGGTTGAGAACTGCCAGCGTCTATAATTCCGTGGTGTCAGCGCCGAGGGGGAAGGGGGAGGTGGGGGGTCCAATAGCGGGAGGTGGGGGGTGGAACCAACCTTTCCCTTGATGTGCCGAAAATTGACACCGAGCTCCTCCAGCAGCGGCGGTTCATCATCGTAGCCACCAGTCCCGAACGCTGCCAACCAGCCCATCGTCAAACCACCACGTTCACCCGCGACACCTCCGGTCGTGGTCGTGGTCCCAATGCTGCCCATGCTGCCCATGCTCCCCATCCCCCCAAACCCGCCGTATCCCTGAGCTGGGGTTGTGTGCCCGCTCACCCCGCCGTGTCCGCCATACGAGGATTGGTAGAATTGCAGGTTTTGTGGCGACTGCGGTGCGCCGTAGCCGCTTTGTTGTGGCGGCGGGGAGAAGAACTGCGCCATGTGTTGTGTTTGTCGGCGTACGGTGATGTGCTGTGATGTGGCGCCTGTAGCTAGCTGGTTGCGCGTTGTTGATGGGCGTTCGTAAAGACTGTGGTCGTCGTGGTGATAGTCGATAGCTTGGCCGATGGTAACTAACTAACGGGACGTGTCGTGGTGTGTGTATTATTGTGCAATGTGCTGTAGCTGTAGCTGTTCGTTTGAATGGCGATGGCGATGATGATGATGATGTGTTCACGCTGGCTGGGTTACCTCACAACGCCGACCGCATGCGTCGCACCCAGTTAACCCAAACTTCACGCTACCCGGCTGGGCCACGTGACCTTGCAACCTGCAAGGTGTCCGGAATTCGGGACAGTTGCTCTCTCACTAGGTAACTTTTTGCCGGCCGAGCTACCTAACTACCGTATCGCTCTAGTTAGCTCCAGGAACCCACCTACCTCACACCTCACACCTCACTCGCACTTGCACCCACGATCCCACGATTCAACGAGCACGAGCACAATGTCATCACGGTTCGCCCCTCCTCCGCCGCTCCCCACTTACCTTTTGTACCCCCCAGCTAACACCCCCAGCTACGGCCCCACCCTCCACGCGCGCGAGCGCGACCCCTACGACCGGCAGCGCTCGGAGCTCCTGGGGCAGCAGCCGGCGGCGCAGCAGCAGGCGTACGGGCGGTACTCGCCCGCCATCGGCGGGGGCGTGGGCGGAGGAGGCGGGTACGGCTACGCGAGCACCAGCGACCGTGTTCCCAGCCCAGCGTACCGCGCGGCGACGCCGAACCGTAAGGGCCAGTACTCGGCCTCGGTCATGGAGGAGCTCGAGGCGCAGAATGATGATGCCGTCGAGGGCCTCAGCAAGAAGGTGCGCATGCTGAAGGATGTAAGTATACTCTACTCTACTCTACTCTACTCTACATTGTGGGAAGGAGGGGAAGGGGAAGGGGAAGGGGAAGGGGCTAATGGTGGTGGTGGCGGGGTAGATTACGGTGGCGATTGGCGAGGAGGTGCGTAGCTCGACTACGCTTATGGAGGCGATGAATGAGAGCTTCGAGGGCACGCGTGAGAAGCTGCAGGGGACCATGAAGAATATGCTGCGCATGGCGCGGAGGACCGGAGTGGGCTGGAAGGCGTGGATCGCTTTCTTTGCGGCTCTGGTGGTGCTGTTCTGGTGGGTGTGGATCTGACGAGTTGATCCAGGACGGTTGACTGCAGTGCCATATTGTAGGTGGACGGGTGGGTGTGGGTGTAATATATGTTGGTGGAATTGGTGACTTAGTCTTTTTATTGGTTTCTCATCACTTGGGTTTTATGGTTGGATTTTGTTGCGGCTTTTTAGTTTAACTGCTTTCTTTTTGAGTGCCGATTGTAACGATACGAATGATTTAATGGTACATCGCATTGCAATACATGATTAGGAGGTGCATTCTGCAGGCATGTAGGCTTAAAATCTGAAGAAATGCGTTGACCGGACAGCTTGATATGGTATCATGTGAAATTACTCATTGTACAGACCATCAAGAATCTATGGTCATCTACGCTTCCGTAAGCCAGATCACGTGTCGTCGACCCAGACTTCAAGGTCGGGAGCATTTCAGACACTCCAGCTTCTATTACTCTCGCCACGCTTCGCCGTCACATTTCTCAGAGAAAAAAAACATTCATGATGTCATTGAGCATTCAATATCATCCCAGAACCGCATCTCTTCGCACTCCCTTCCATGGGTGTAATGTACACTTGCGGTTATCGAAATCAAACAGAAAGAAATTACAACAAAACCAATGCCAGCCTACGCGTCGGTAACTCTACCACCAACCTTACGCAGAGCACCTCCCAGCTTCCTTCCCGCCTGCTTACGCCTTCTGCGGTCCTCGACAACCTCCTCGAGATCATCCTCTTCGACGAGAACCATCACCGGAGTGGGTGCGGAAACACCATAGGCCATCCTCCTAACCGGAGTCTCCACCTCCCTCTCCGGAGTACTGGTACTGAAGCTGCGTCCAGGAGTAGACGACGAACTCCTGGCCCTGCTGCCCTGTCTCCTGCGTCTAAGCTTCTCCTCGAGGTATTCGACATCCCTGTTCTTCTTCTCCGCCATCGCCGTGAGCTTGAGGATTGTGGTGCGGACGCCTTCGACGGTGGGAGGCTGGTATTTGGCCCGGGTTCGGTGACGGTCACGCGCAGCAATCTTCGCTTTGAAGAGCGTCGCCTTGTACTCAGCGTCCTTGAGCGCCTTTTCGACGCGGCTAAACGACTTGCGCAGGGTACGCTGCTGAATCTGCTGCTCGGGGCGAGGAGGCGGGCTCTGGCGTGAGCGGCAGCGGTTGGATCGTTGTGGACGGAGAACAGACGTTTGATCTCAGACTCTTTGGTATTGACTGCAGAAAGGTCAGCAAGAACATAATGTAATAGGATGGCGAAATCTTACGCTTGATGAATCCCCTGGTAGCACACTGTCGCCTCTCCTCCAGCTTGGGGGTCGTACTAGCGATCTTCTGCACCTCCAATTCCAAGTCGGCAATAGTCTTGGTCACTATCGCCAACTCGCCCAAGCGCCAGTTGTCGGTAGGCTTCATGTCCTCAGGTTTCTCGTGTGTGACACCCTCGGCCGGGGTCTGCTGTGCGAGGTGGTAAGACTGAAGACCACGAGCCATCTGACCGAGTTTATTGACCATCATATTGCCAGAAATCAAGAGTGCGTCAAAAGCAGTAGTGAAATCCTTCACGACAGTAATTAGAGCCCAATTAAAAAACGACAGGAACATAAACTCACGTTGACATCATTGAACTTGGTGAGCTTCTTTATTTCCGGGATTGTGACTGACGGCTTGACTGGACCATTGCACAGCTGCTCACGGATCTTTTCGTCCTCATGGTCGCTGTATTCCGCATCGAGTCCACGACACTCTCTGCGTCGTCCTCTTCCTCCTCTGGCTCTGGCTCTTCCTCCTTCGATATTGATGCGTTCAATAGCGAGGCGATCGCCGCCGAGTTGATAGGCTTTGGGTTGACAGGTCTCGATGACTTGACATTCTTGTGCGCCAAACTTCCCAGACTTCCCAGACTTCCCAGACTTCCCAGACTTCCCAGACTTCCCAGACTTCCCAGACTTCCCAGACTTCCCAGGCTTCCATGGCTTCCCAACCGCCCATACCGCCCATGCCCTTGGACTGTAGCGGCACTTTACCGCGTAACTGCCTCGCCGGAAGAGGGGCCTCCTCTTCTCGTCCTCCTCATCTTCGTCTTCCTCATCGTCGTCATTCTCACTCTGAATGTCTTCCTGCTTCTTGCTAAACAAGCTGCTGAAAGGAGCATCTTTTGAGAAATTGCTGGATGAGAAAGGCTTAAAGCTTCCAGAGTTGCTAAAGATCGAGCCAGATCCAGATCCAGGCGTTGTCGCTTTTGCAGCAGGTGGGGTGGCGCCAAAAGCAGCGGGCGTTTTGGAGGCGGTGCCAAAAAGACCGGTCGCCTTAGGGGTGGGCCTCAGAAGGAACAGGCGTTTTAGGGGCGGCCCCAGAAGGAACGGCCGCCTTAGGGGTCTCGGCAGAAGACTTCTCCTCTTCTTTCTTGAACTCTTCCTTGATCGGAGTTTTGGGTGCCTCGTTCTCTTTTCCTGCCTCCTCCTCATTTTCCTCGTCTTCATACTCTCCTTCTTCCTCTTCACCTTCTCCCTCCTCTTCGTCGCCTTCGTCCTCGTACTCCTCTTCTTCTTCGTCCTCTTCCTCCTCGTCGCCTTCCTCCTCTGTCCTTCATCGTCTGCACCATCTGAGTCATTGTCTTCAGGCAGAGCGGGTGGCAGCTCTGGCGGAGTTATCTGGGATGGTGCCGAGAAGTCTGGCGGAAGCGGTGCCTCCTCAGCAGCTAGAGATCCCGGTTCTGAGCTGTCGTCCGAATCATCATCGGAGTCGGGAACAGTAATCGACTTCTGCGCAAACGGATTGGCTCCGGATGAACTTGCACCAGCAGGCTTGCCTCCAAATGGATTCGTACTGGTATTACCCGTACTGGCAGGCTTCAAGCTAGCGAAAGGTGATGCGGTGGAACTGCTGCCGAAAGAAGCGAAGGGTGAAGGCGAGGCGGGAGCAGCAGAGCCGAATGGATTTCCAGCAGCGGGCTTTGACGCTCCCATCCCAGCGAAGGGGGAGGGCGAGGATTGCCCAGCATTAGCAAATGCCGAAGAAATTGATGCGTTGCCAAAGGCCGATGGCTTGCTTGGTGTAGTAAATGGCGAACCTGTACCTCTAAAGGCTGACGTATCGAAAGCATTACCGGATGCGGATACGTTAGAACCGCTACCGCCTCCAAGTGCACCTCCAAGGGCAGAGCCAAAGCTTCCCAAAGAGCCACCGTTGTCTGGATTGCCAGACTTGCCATCATCGGCAGATGGAGTTGCTTGGTCTTTGAATACACTCCCCAATTTGAATCCGCTTGCCGTGGGCGTCGCGGGTTGGTGGTCTTGGCTGCTCCAAAAGCTGAGTCGGTATTGCCGCTGGTTACAATAGGTTTACCGCTGCCAAAGGGGCTTCCGCCTTGCGGGACGTTGGATGCCTGCGCAGCAGCGGCAAAGCCGCCCTTATTCGCAAAAGATGCAAATGCGCTGCCACTGCCGAATGTTGCCGG